ACGTAGGTATAAAATAAAATAAATCACGACGTTTCGATCGCAATACAAACGGTCGTCCTCAGGCGCAAACAAACTATACCGTGTTGAGCTGCACGGCTGAGCGGTGCGATAAAAGTACGTGGAATGATAAAGTAATGTGGTGGTGAACCCTCAGTCATGTTTCCCGCCATCTTACTGTGTGTGTGTACATCGTATCTCGCCAAACGTTATCGTTACATTGTTTATGCGGAAATTGTTTTCACTTCACGCAGCACTTTTCAGGAACACATCTATCGCGTTAAACAAGGACTTGCTGTACTTTAAAGAAAGCTGTTTTACCCCTTGAAATAAAGGTATTGTGTGAATAAATGATAGTGTAGCTGTGTTGTCTTGCGTGTATTTTATAAGAATTCCAGATGTTTATATCAATCAACCCGGTGATCGTGTGAATATGGGTTTACACGGAAGTGTAGGTGACTTTCAATGCTTCTTAATGGGAAATGTCTCATGCATCGGGCACCACTCTACCACCCACCCCCTCCACAAGTTCCCATAAAAGTTGGTGTCGTGATCAATATTTCTGCAGTGACAGACTGTGTTTTGTCCAATGGTAGAATGCACGTTTGCTTCTGTTTACGCCGCGTGTACACTATTGTGTGAGCACCAAGGGCTATAGATGGTAAAATGGCTCTCTCATCTCTGGTTGAAAAATAACAAAAAAATGTATTTGTACATTTGCGGAGATTGTTCCCACAATTATTGCATTATGTAAGCAAGTGAATTACGAATACAATTTGTAAGTATATTAGGGACTGATTTTCATGAACTATCTCCTCATTAAGGTGCATATTTTTCTCCAATGCATTAACCACCTAGAAAATATTCAATATTCAGTGACAAAATATGGCTTAGAGTAAGGTGTGCTCACCACACCACTCTCCTGGAAATCCACTGCTCTCCTTCCAGCTCACGTACTTTATTCTGCACTCGCCTCTCTTCAACCCAACTAAATTTGCTGACAGCGAGAGCTGTGATGCGATTTACAGGCAGGGGTAAAGAAAAAACTGCACGCACCGAAGCACAAACAAAGGCGGCTTTGAGCAGCGAGGTTTTTAATAGTTTGTCCCCGCCAGCCGAGGAGCTGCGCTCGCAGCGTTCGTGCCACTCGTGCAAACCCCGTGCCGTGCTGTGTGCGGTGCGGGGGCTGTCGCGTCTACCTCGGCAGATTAACAAGTTCGGTACACAGGCACTTTTGGCCAAGACTGACAATATAATTGCGATATGGCACAGCTGTTGAAGGCGTACCGCATTCTAGAACATGGTATACAGAGGTGGGCGAGAGCAGGTTGGAGTTCTTCTGGAAAGTTTTACTTGATCGTGTAAATGGTTCGCGATGCACTCCATTCAATGACTGACGCGAGCAAAACCAATCAATTGTGTTTTCGATTTGTGTTCTTCCAACAAATATTCTCTTTCAAACTTATACTTTTGTATTATTTATATTGAGAGTTTATCTCCATTGCTTGTTATCATTACCGTCATCACAAAATCTGAGATGGTTCATATTTTATCCTTTTTTTGAATGCCTTTATTTCTGTAACTCAGTTTTCAGAAGACAACTAATATCGCAGGGAATGACTTCGTGAGAGTCGATGCATCCCTTCCTCTGATACGCAGTTCCGATTTTTGTTCTAAATGTTTAACCAATATATTTCAACTGAGCTATGTGTTATGTTGTATGTATGTGGAACTTCTTTTGCACCCTACGTAGCCAACCTGCTAATCGAAGGCGTCAATCTCGGTCTTTATGCATACGTTTATCGGTCCAATGTTAGTTTGTGTCCACTGTAAGTCGGTGGTTCTCCTATGTATTATAAGATTATAGGTCCCATGCTCGTTTGTCGGACCTGAGTTAGTTTATGGGTACAGAGTATACACGTGGCATTGAGGTTTCGTATATGGGTTATGCAAATGAATGAATGAACAAGTGAATGAGCAATCATAATAGTGGGAAAATAAAGTAAGGAATCAATGTACTCATGCAAATACCTACTGGTGTGTGTATTGGGAGCCCACGATGTGGATACAAGGGGGGGGGGGGTCCATGAATGACATTCATTGAGAGTGCACAGCAATTGGCGTTCCCCCATTCTAAAATGTGTGGGGCGGCAGCTGCCTTCTTCTGGCCCCTGTGTTGTCACACACACGGACCACGACTAGCAATACAACGAAGCTACAGCTCATTGCTGCTCGTTCTCTGCTTCCGCGATATAATCAATCAATTCAAATGTGCATTTTGGCGTGCTGCATCGCGTGTCACGCATGTGTTGATTGGTATCCATGGCCGGTGGGGGTACAGGCTGAGAGGGTTGTGGGGTTGCCGAGTTCCAGAGTCGCTGAGATGGATCGGGAACATCACGCGGCTGCCACTCTTCTCGACGCGTCTCATGCGGGCAGTGGGCGCGCAAACCCCGAGCGCTTTGATCCTGCGAGCGGCTCCACGATGAGGGGGGAGACGATGCTGTGTCTGCTTCCATTCGCGGTCCTCTAGGGGCTGCGTGTTCACCTTAATTAGAGCATGTCTCTCCACATGGCTGAGTGGCCTCGGGTGGGCTCATAGCCATGCCAGAGCGTTGCTTTTATGAAGGCATTCGTGTGAAGTTTGGGTTTTTGTTTATTTTCTACAGCCAGTGCTGCCCTCAAGCCCCCCCCGCCCTCACCTTTATTGAGGCCCCAGTCATTGTTTCTTTCTTTCTGGCTCTGCGTTTTATTTGTGTTTACCCCTCTAAATATCAAAAGCATTATAATTTCCTGAAGAAGTTCATTATGGTCCTGTTGTGTTAGGTCACCATCAAAGTAAAAGTGACTGACTGACAAAAGTGATGCAGAGATAAACAAATGTAAACCGGTTTGTCAGCACAGGAGTCGCCAATGGCACTGCTGCAAAGTCTACCTCAGTGTCTGGATATTTTATTTACGTGTATTTCTGTGTTCTCGTTGCTTATGCAGTTAGTCATCACTTAATGCGTCTTCAGGCAACGCGTTTTCGTCATAACGCGGTTCTTCCATGAAAGTAACACTTCACACAACGCGCCCCGTGTACCCCAGAACGCTCCCGTTATAACGCGGTTTCTAAGCGGTCGAAGACGAAACTACCTTGTGGAGCTAGTAGGCAGAATATGGTTCTGGCCACCCACCCCCTCATGTACTGTACTAGCCTTCATATATGTTTGCTAACAGCACTTGCCCCCAAAATCTGTTAAGGCTATACGGGGGGTCTTTGTCTTTTCTCTCTCTGTTTCTGTGTCTATATTTATATTGTATGCTTATCTATTCCGTGATGTATGTATTATGTATTATATAATTTTGCGTTGAATTGAGATCGTATCTTAAAGAAAGGGTTCTTGTCTAGAACTCATGAATGTTGGTGAGCCTATTTATGTCAAACCGCACCTCCGATGTGAATTAAGTTCAACATACATCAAACTGGCCCACAGTTTGCTTGTACTGAATCAATGCTGCTAAAATGATGCACTTCCATAAATATGTTGGGCCGATGGGTTGTCTAAGAAGTTATTCATTTTTGTATGTCGAGAGACAGACATGTGAAGCTTCAAATCTAGAATTAATGTGAAGGAGACATTGCCTTTATATACTGGATAATGGCGATGGGTTCACTGTAATGATAGCCACGGTCTTGTAGTGCGGCTATGGGCAGACGACACTCCCTCCACGCCTTGGCCTGCCCGGCAGGACGCAGAATCTGATGGGATTCGGGACCATATTCCGCATCTGATTCGTGCACAAAACCTGAGGGCTTTGATGTCATGGGCTGCGGGAGAGGCCACAGGGCACTGCGGAATGTGGTGAGAGTCCAGGGCGCTGTCTACGTCTCTGCAAGACTTCGGTCTTTATTCTGAAGCCTGTGCCTCGTGGAAGAGTGCTGCTGTGTAGGAGACCGGGCTATTATGACTTGAGTTGGGTCTTAAGTGAATGCCCACCATCACAGTGCATGAATTTCTGGCATATCGGTGCTTGCATATGGCAGCAAACGGTCAGTGGACGACTCTTCTGCACGGTAGGTCCTGGTGTCAAGGAAATGGCCCCCACATTCGCCGTTCCGTCACTAGTCCAGTCGAAGTTCTTGCTCAGATCTGGCATGCATCTATGATCTGTGGATGTACCGATGCCGGAACAGCGAGTTGGTGACAGTAGCAGCCTCCTACCGTTATTGAGATGACCTGGTCCATGTGTTTCAATCACTCCTGCTCAAGTGCTACTGTCATGACCTACTCGGACATTAGAATCAGCAAATGAGATGACTCCTGAGGGGCCACTTTAGCCATCTTCTGGATAAGGTCATAGAAGACATCTGCTGGCCAACTTTGCCCGCGTCCATAGATCCACATTTCTCGGTGTGAGTGCAGCCTCTCGCACATAGAAACAGGCATATGCAGTATACAAGTAGACATACATATTGTACTTAAGACACACACCAACCCAGGCACACACACACACTGGACACAAAGACATACACGGAGACATACCCACCCAGAGATACGTATGTGCACACAGGCAAACACATACAGACACATGGAGCAGTCATGGACTCACACACGTACTGGCGCTACAGGCGGGGCTCTGTTTATCTTCGACTGGAGTATTCACGGGGAATGTTCTCTAGCAAGAGCAGTGAACTCGCACACGCGTCTTCCACTCCTCCTCACGCTTGGAAACCGATTTACATTTCTCTGCCGGATCCTTGTTCGAAAAGCCGGGCAACAATTTTACGTAATGCTGTTTTCCGATGATCGGGGAGAAGAAAAGAATGTCCATAAAAGAATGGAATGAGAGTGGGTAGGGGGAAGGGAGCAGGGAGGCCTGTCGTGTGAGTATTGTCTGGCAGGGTTGGCTGGGCTGCTGTGGAGGCATGGGGGGTGGGTGGAAGGGAGGGCACGGCGCAGTTGGCTGGGGGTAGGAGTGGAAGGGGCTTGTTGGGTTCGGGGTAGGAAAGGGGGAGAGCGGGAGACCTGGCGTGCCTCTATGGATCACTTGCCCATGACTCCGTCTGTCGCAGCCACGCTCTGTCGGGACACGCTCAAGGCGGGATGGTAGTTCGTGCTGCGAGACTTTAGAAGCATCAGTGCCAGTGCAACGGTCCATACATTCGGGTAGCAAAGCCTTGCCGCGCAAAGCACGACGCAGTAGGAAGAGCCAGAGAGACAAAGGCGGGCAGCCATGCAGATCGGCAAGGGGGTGGCAGGGGAGCGCAGGCAACGCGGGCGGGGAGAGGCGCTGCCGCCCCGGGCACCCCGGGGTCTGGTGGAGCAGTGAGTGGAGAGAGACAGAGAGTGGAGAGAGGGTGAGTGGAGAGAGGGTGAGTGGAGAGAGGGTGAGTGGAGAGAGGGTGAGTGGAGAGAGGGTGAGTGGAGAGAGGGTGAGTGGAGATAGAGACAGAGAGTGGAGAGAGGGTGAGTGGAGAGAGGGTGAGTGGAGAGAGGGTGAGTGGAGAGAGGGTGAGTGGAGAGAGGGTGAGTGGAGAGAGGGTGAGTGGAGAGAGGGTGAGTGGAGAGAGGGTGAGTGGGGAGAGGGTGAGTGGGGAGAGGGTGAGTGGAGAGAGAGACAGAGAGTGGGGACAGGGTGAGTGGAGAGAGGGTGAGTGGGGAGAGGGTGAGTGGAGAGAGGGTGAGTGGAGAGAGGGTGAGTGGAGAGAGGGTGAGTGGGGAGAGGGTGAGTGGAGAGAGGGTGAGTGGAGAGAGGGTGAGTGGAGAGAGGGTGAGTGGAGAGAGGGTGAGTGGAGAGAGGGTGAGTGGAGAGAGGGTGAGTGGAGAGAGGGTGAGTGGAGAGAGGGTGAGTGGAGAGAGGGTGAGTGGAGATAGAGACAGAGAGTGGAGAGAGGGTGAGTGGAGAGAGGGTGAGTGTGGAGAGAGGGTGAGTGGGGAGAGGGTGAGTGGGGAGAGGGTGAGTGGAGAGAGAGACAGAGAGTGGGGAGAGGGTGAGTGGAGAGAGGGTGAGTGGGGAGAGGGTGAGTGGGGAGAGGGTGTAGTGGGGAGAGGGTGAGTGGAGAGAGGGTGTAGTGGGGAGAGGGTGAGTGGGGAGAGGATGAGTGGGGAGAGGGTGAGTGGAGAGAGGGTGAGTGGGGAGAGGGTGAGTGGGGAGAGGGTGAGTGGGGAGAGGGTGAGTGGGGAGAGGGTGAGTGGGGAGAGAGATAGAGTGGGGAGAGGGAGAGTGGGGAGAGGGTGAGTGGGGAGAGGGTGAGTGGGGACAGAGTGTAGTGGGAAGAGGGTGAGTGGGGAGAGGGTGAGTGGGGAGAGGGTGAGTGGAGAGAGGGTGAGTGGAGAGAGGGTGAGTGGAGAGAGGGTGAGTGGGGAAAGGGTGAGTGGGGAGAGGGTGAGTGGGGAGAGGGTGAGTGGGGAGAGAGATAGAGTGGGGAGAGGGAGAGTGTGGAGAGGGTGAGTGGGGAGATGGTGAGTGGGGAGAGAGACAGAGAGTGGGGAGAGGGTGAGTGGGGAGAGGGTGAGTGGAGAGAGGGTGAGTGGGGAGAGGGTGAGCGGGGAGAGGGTGAGCGAGGAGAGAGTGAGCGGGGAGAGGGTGAGTGGGGAGAGGGTGAGTGGGGAGAGGGTGAGTGGGGAGAGAGACAGAGAGGGTGAGTGGGGAGAGGGTGAGTGGGGAGAGGGTGAGTGGGGAGAGAGTGGATAGACGGTGAGTGGGGAGTGGGTGAGTGGGGAGAGGGTGAGTGGAGAGAGGGTGAGTGGAGAGAGTGTGAGTGGGGAGAGAGTCGGGAGAGGCAGTACGGGAAATTGGCGCTGCTGCTGCTACTCGGTGCCCGAGTCCTTGCATCGAGAAGAAAACGCGTGGAGGTCGCGATCGATCATGGCGCGTGTATTGTAGATGTGTGACCGTGTGTGATTGGGTACGTGCGTATGTAACTATGTATGTGTGTGTATCTATGTAACGTCGTGTGTATGACGATGTGTATAAGTGTCTGTGTATGCGTGTAACTGTGCAAAGTGTGTAACTGTGTGTGTGTGTAGAGCTGTGCTTTCGCCTGGAACCGCGCACGTGCTGTGTGTTGTACACACGACGTGCACAGACTGCAGGCAGGAGTCGCGTTTGCACCTTGAGTTAAGGGACGGAACTCAAATCGAACACCGACTCGAGACTCAGAACTCGGAATGCTTTGAACCCCTGCAGGGCTGAGAGCGCCTCGGAAGCCCCGGGGAGCGGGACGATGCCCTGGTGGACGATGCCCTGGTGGACGACGCGCGCGGTGGAGGCGCTGCTCTGCCTCTGCCTCGCCGCCGGCCTCGGCTCCCCGAGTTCCCGCGACGCGCGGAGTTGGGAGCGCAGCGCGGAGCTGGACGAGGTGGGCCGCGTGCGGCTGAGCTGGAGCGCGACCAGAGCGGGGGCCCCCGGGGGGGATGCGGCGGCGGGGGAGACGATCGCCTTCCGGGTGGAGGCGCGCACCACGGGATGGGTCGGACTCGGGTTTTCTCCCGCGGGATCTATGGCCGGGGCAGACCTGGTGATAGGCGGTGTCAGGACAAACGGGAAAGCCTACTTACAGGTGAGCCGCGTGTGAAGGTTCTTGGCCAACAACAATGAGGATTATCTTCACCATTCCTGGGCCTCCCCTAGGTCGACTCGGTCTTAAATAAGTACCTAGTACGGCGTGTACACATCGCCTCTGGGGAGACAAAGGCGGTTGGGCGTGGCGCTGGGCACCCGTGCTCGCCTTAATAGGTGCTCGCTAACAGCATTTGCCCCAACAGTCTGTTCAGGCTATACGAGGCACCTTTGTCTTTGATACTCACAGGTGAGCCATAAGTAAACGTGAGCCATCTATACAGGTGAGCGATGCTAACAGGTGTATCATACAGATGCGGAATATTGCATGAGCGCCATGTGTACTGGTGAGTCATGCCGACGGGTGCGCTGTGTTTACAAGCGAGCCATGGCTTTTGGTGAGTTATTGTACAGATGAGATCTGCGCAATACTTAACCATACCTGGATGTGTGAGTCCTTAACAAATAAACCCGACCCTGCAAGTGAGACGTTCTTGTAAATTGTGCATTGCTTCCCATACAAATAAGGCAAACATACTCGCAGGTGCTGATTTAAATACACCTCACCTTGAATTCTCACGAGATCTAAAGCTCAAGTTCAAACATGTCTCGAGCTAAGGCGCATCAGTTCTATATTTCAATGAATCCTACCCACAAGATGCTTCACACTCCAAACTCACAGTTGGATCCCCTCTCAAGCACACTGATCGGATATGTTTTAGTTTACGCGTTGAATCCCATGAGGATTTCTAGCATTATTATTACCATTGTGGAATCTTGTGCTGTTAGGACCGGACAAAAAGGATTACTTGACAATGAATGCCTCATTGTCCTTCATGTAACCGTGCAATAGCTACAGGAGATTTAAAACTGTTTAGATTTGTTATTAAAGTTAATTAAGGGTAACCTGTCCGAGAGACGGGGTTCATTCAATAGTATTCTAACACCGGACTCCCACTTAACACTCGCCAGGCACTCACCGTACATTCACCACTTACCGAACATTCAATAGTCACCACTCATCATTTGAGAGGGACTCACCACTCACCTATTACCATCCACAGCTGAGGTCACCCTGAGCAGGAGCGCATGTGTCTAGCATGTGGCACAACCACTGTGCTTAGCAGGCGATCACTGGTGAGTTTTTATTACATAGGTCAAAGGTCAAATGCCATACATGGGTCAAATGCAATACCATAGGTCAATGATTCCGAATGGTCAGAAGCCGTTATCACTGGACCCTTTTGACGAAAATTACTCAAATGATGTGACAAGTGGAGAGACAGATAGACTAACCGACTGATAGACAAATGACATTGCTTTCAAGCGATTATTATTGACATGGCCTGACTGCCGTCTGCCAACAGTCACACCAAATGCTGTCTGTGGCTGTGAGAGGCTGTGGGTGTTGGGCTTTAGAGGGTCACTTCAGGACAGGGCTGATAATTTTGTACGAGTGTTTGAGCAGAATTATGTTTCTGAGTCCGCACGTGGTATTATTATTAGGCTATGAATTATTTTTCATATCAAATTTGAGTGCACACAATTTGAGTTTCCCTATATTTTTTAAGGTTTGATTTCATTATTGTTCTTAATCGTGTTTAAATATTTTTCAAATAATATTTTCTGTATTTTTGTTTTGTTTTATACATTTGAAATTGCCTGATTTGGCTCCACCAACTATTAACCCAGATCTGCATTGCAAAAGAGACGTCAAGACGAAATAGAAGTTCTGTACTGGTTATAAATTCATGCCCAATGATGTCCTTCGTGTGAGTGATTGCACAGTGGTTAAATCCATACTGACTAGCATGGTGAAGTATGGTCAAGTAACTCTAATGACAAACACGGCATGGCGAGGCCTTCATCTGGCAGTGGAATGACAAATGGCTGACAAGTATTACTGTACTATAAACATACTCTATGAGGGGAGCCTTATTCAGTCATGACCCTCATGAGAGTCCTGAATTAAAATGTTTGGCCAATTTCATTTCAGGGTCGTGTGTATTGTACATGGCAGGGAACTGGTGTAGCTGGAGAAAACTCGTACAAATGAGTGGATAAGGCGCAATGCTCGGCACAGATGGATCCAAGAATACGTTGCTGTCCTGCCATATATTGGCCACCTTGCAGCCCAATGTATCTGAGTGTTTCACAAATGCATTTAAACTGCTGTGGATACGTAGAGCTACAAAGTCCAAATGTCACTCCCCACATGTACCTCCTCTTGGCAGGATTACTTTGCTGAACGGAATGAGCGTCCACTGCTGGATGAGAGGCAGGACTACCGCCTGGAGAGCGCATCCCAGAACTCCACGCACACCGAGCTGATTTTCTCTCGGGCGCTCGACACGTGTGACCCCCGTGACAAGATCATCACGGTGAGTGGTAGGTAGGTGGTAAACCAGGAACCGGTCTACCTGATTACCTGTCTGCCTGTTTACGACCTACCTACCTACCTGCAGCCTACCTAGGCACATACCTTCCCGCCTCCCAGCCAACCTACCAGCTGTCCTGTCTGCCTGCATATCTACTTACCTACTCACCCAACTATACCCACGGACGTGAAACTTACTTGTCTGGCGAGTCCATGTCCGCATACCTACCTACTAAGCTCCCTACCTACCTATTGCACCACCCATCTATCTTCGCTCTCATCCATGCATCTTACAACAAACCTACTGCCTGTCTACCTACCTACCCACCCACCCGTCTACCCAAAAAAGCACCCACATACATATCTGACACCCTGGCTAGGCAGTGGTAGCCTGCGTGTGTGGGTTGCTCTCGCATCGCTATTGGGACCACGGATAGCTATGGGCTGCTTCTTCTGAGCTTCACGGGAAGGGGGGGGGGGTGTGGAATGCAGTACAGCTGGGTTTAGGAGGCCAGAGCAGAAGACAAAAACAGCGGAGAGCTCTGCAATTGATAAGAAATCAGCTGTTGGCACGGGGATAAGCGATTTAAAAGTAGCCAGTACGGTCTCGCCACCCAGGAGGTTTTCTCCCGTCCAGTTCGAGGGTTCGTGCCTCTACCACCACAGCTGATACAAGTTCTACCTCCTCGTGCAAACCCTGAATGTACCCATCTAATTCGATCTCAGAGGCTAAGGAAAATTGCCCCTGGTTAGCAATTGAATGGGAGACTGTCTGGGAGTGCCAAGTGTGGCCTCTTTGGGTGGTGAGGTGGCCAGGCGATGACCATGCAGGGGTGGATTCGTGAATCTAAACTTGCAGAGCTTTATTATTTTACACCCTCATATGTTTGGTGTTTCCTCTTGATTTTCCAGTTTCTTCCCATATGCCGCTCAAAATGGAAATTGGACAAACGCCCCAATACAGGACTCATCTATATCGCATTGACTGCATTGTGTAATAACAAAAGCAAAGAAGGCTTTTTTGGTTGCTGTGGTGAAAATTTACCATTGTCCACTTAAATGCTTACTCTTCTTTCTATCTGAGCCTCTATGGTCCAGGCACGTGTTAATCCTCCAGAGTCAAATATTTCAGAACAGATCAGCAGCTTATTGTCGAGTGCTGAATAAACGTGAAATGTCACACTCCGTTATGATGTTTTCACACAGAAAACGGGATTCAGGCCCTGCTGTACGATATTTTGGCTGGGTTTTTGTGAAATGTGTCCCATAGGGTGGATCACTTTATTTCCTGGTGCCTTGTTGCTTGTTGCTGCTTGGCACATTGCCGTTACAAATGCAAGCGCAGTCAGTAACTTTCAACGTGGCTTCCGTGCAGCAGCAACACACCCACACGGCATCCTGTGGTCATCACGGGTCACTCCCGCTTATGCACATTTGATCATTTACTAAATTAGTGATTGCCGGTTATTGAGGTGTGTGTGCGTCTTTGCTGTCTTACATTGGTGTGCGTTCAGTATACACAATGGTTTTGTTTTTACGGTTAAAGTAAATTACACTAAATCCACCTCTCGACGAGCTTCAGAATGTTTCATTGTTCATCTCCCAGTAGTGTTGGTTTAAGCAACGTAGCTATGGACTAGTTTTTATTTCACTAAGTCTCATCAGCAGGGTGTCATCATAAGTCCATGATGGTCCAAGAAGTAAGTCACAATTAGCAAAATGTGGAGCCAGAATCCAAAATGTATAGCCAGGTCTCTGATTCATAGTTCTTGGTCACCATTCACCACTGCACAGTGTGCAATTATAGTTAAAGAGTCAGCAGATTCCTCCTCAAACGAGCATTGAGCAGTACTAATTTCGAAATCAAGAGTGTAAATTCTACATTCTTCTGGTGTTGGTGAATTATTTCATGGGACAATCATTACTGGCTTTGCATACATTTATTCTAATTTTATTTACCCTGCAGTAGAGATGTGTTGAGTCCATCTCTGACCAGGATTTGAGCTTGTAACCTCCTGATTGGGAGTCCTGCACTCTGACCACCGTGCCGCCTGTCCAGGCTGTACGTAAATACAGCTCTCTTTTTACTTTGACAGGTGAGTGCTTGTCAAGATAAAACATGGTATTAGTGTTCGAAGTGTCTAAAGGGCATCGTACTGACAAATGGAGATCACATTTCTCCGTGTTTCTCTTGCTGATGACGGGGGCTACACATGTCCACGCGTCTTGGCATGGAGGCAGCAGCCAGGAACTCCAGGGAGGGGCACTCGACGCACATCCCTCGAGGGTGCTCAGGGACTTCAGGGCAATTGTTGATGTCCATTGTTACCACGCAATTAAATGCAAATCATTTTGTATGTATGCAGTCTAAAAACCTGCACATCCCATTCGTGTGGCCCGAGTGCTGCTGCGGGGTCCACTTTCTGCCCCGCCTCCTCCCCCCCCCCCCTTCTCTCTCCCCCCCCTACTGCCGAGGCCTACACTATACACTACACTATACACTACACTATACACTACACTATACACTACACTACACCATACACTACACTATACACTACTATACACTACACTATACACTACACTATACACTACACTATACACTACTATACACTACACTATACACTACTATACACTACACTATACACTACACTATACACTACACTATACACTACTATACACTACACTATACACTACTATACACTACACTAAACACTACTATACACTACACTATACACTACACTATACACTACTATACACTACACTATAAACTACAGTACACTATACACTACACTAAACACTACACTATACACTATATACACTACACTATACACTACACTATACACTACACTATACACTACTATACACTACACTATACACTACACTATACACTACACTATACACTACACTATACACTACACTATACACTACACTATACACTACTATACACTACCATACACTACACTATAAACTACACTACACTATACACTACACTATACACTACACTATACACTAAACACTACACTATACACTATATACACTACACTATACACTACTATATAACCTCGTGCCACGGCAGATCTCTCGCCTACTTCAGCAGTTTTTTCTTGCCGTGGTTGTCCCACCTGTTGCGATCGAAACGTCGTGATCTATTATTTTTTCTACCTACGTGACTTTACTGAAAGAACCAAAGAGTATGGATTCCTGCAGTCACGAAAGATTCAAATAAAGAAAGTGACCTGAGGTCAGAATATTGTGTAATTGTGCCAGGCGAGATAAACACCTGGACAAGTGGCACAGTAGTTAGAGTGTGCGCCTCACCCTCGGAACATAATGAGGTAAAATTCCTGTTCGGGGTTGGTTTTTATTTTTCATTCTCTGGGGTCGATAAATTTGCAATTTCCACATCTGCCTGAATATTGTAAACAGCAAAAGAGCGCCTTATGGTGTGTTAATTTGTGTGGGAAATATTGCTTTAGTATGCAATTAATACTTGACATTGTATAGTGTGCATATTAGGACTGCTGAGCCTAGAAGAGACCATTTACTGCCCTAAAAATGTGTACATTTTGGGTGAAATTTCTGCGAAAATGTAACTTGTTAAGTTGTGGTCATGTAAAGCTTCGAGAAGGCATTTAGAGACTATTTACTGTGAAGGTCTTGGAAGATGGAAGTCATTTTCCTTTTGACATCGTGAAAGTCTGGTCGCAATAGAATCTCATAGTAGCAGGTGCCAGAGAAGCATCTTGGAACGATATTAAATTGTAGTGTTGTCCAGCTTCCATTATTAAGGCTTAGAGTAAAAATTACTATTCTGTCTTGGAGAGTGTTCTATTACGGCCATTCCTTGCGAAGCACTTTTCGTGAAATGAAATGTAGAAAGATCCAATCAAAGATGTGCACGCACCTACATGGGGCAAGGCAGCACAGCTGGCTGGCATTGCCTTGGTTTGTGAGTGCGACTCAAATGTGGAAGCGTGTACGTTCAAATTTCAGCGGGGGATCTCATTTCTTTACTTCTCAACAAAATAAATACCACTAAATGGAAAGTCAACATTCCTTAGGTGTCATTGTCGTCTGCAATAGGAATGTGGAATCGATACTACTGGCTCTGAACTGTAAATAGGAGATTAGCACTGCATGCGTGTTTGAAAAGGAAACCACTTAAGAATAGAAGTTGTAGCAATGCCTTTTATCCAAAAGAGCCTCACTGAGTCTCAATGATATTGATTTCAAGTGTCCTGCAATGGGTGTTTCGCCACTTCCGTTTAATTGAGCATTAAACATTTTTTGACAAAACAGCATCATGCATTTGTCCAGGTTATTATTACGTTTATCTCAGGGACATTGTTTGTATCTAAGTGTGGACGTTATCTGTGGGTTGAATGGGATGTGCAGGAACTGTTGGACCCTGTGATACTCGTGGTGTTGTGGTGCATTTTCCATCTCGTGAGAGACTTGGCGTTGACGGGTAGGGGGTGTGGGGAGCCTCGGGGTCTTGGCTTGTTGCAGAGACAGAGCTGTGCACACGAGAGGAGAGCTGTCAGCTTGACGGGCTGTGCTTCATGTGCCGTAATTGGCTTGTCGAGTCTTGTTTGTAAAATGGTATCAATAGATTCGGTATGCTTTTTTGGAAATGTTTATATTGTCAAAACATGCAATATAGCAGCGGTTCCCAATCTTTTTGGCACCAGGGGTCGGTTTTGTGGAAGACAATTTTTTCACGGGGGGGGGGGGGGGTCATCATTGGGTTTGTTTTTTTACTCATTTTGGCGAGGGGGTTAGCGTGTGGGCTCACCAAAACTGTGACTGAGAAAAGTGCGCAGTGCGGGAAAGAGGCGCGGACGGAAGTGGTAAATAAAATAATGGGTGGGTCACGCACAGACTAAAATAAGTGTCGGATTCTGACTTCTGATAAGGAGCGCACAACCCAGATCCCTCGCATGCGTAGTTGACAGTCGTGTTCGCGATCCTATGAGAACCCAATGCCACCGCTGATCTGACAGGAGGTGGAGCTCAGACGGCAATGCGAGCGATGGGGAGCGACTGTCAATACAGATGATGAAGTTTTGCTCGCTTGCCCATCGCTCACCTCCTGCTGCGCAGCCCGGTTCCTAACAGGCCATGAACCGGTACCGGTCCGCGGTCCGGGGGTTGGGGACCCCCCTGCCATATCGGGCAATACATTATTATTGTTCTCTTTTTTTTATATATATTCTGATGATTTTTTTGTTTAAATCGTTTGCCCAATTGTTCCGACTCGGACAACAATTTCTGCATGAGCTCTGAAACTACGTTTATAGTACATTTGTGGAATGTATTGACCGTTGATATTTTGCGCATATCTCACAAAACTAAATCTAACTCGGCACTATAGTTTTTGACAATTTCCAGTCCATGCAAGTCCCATTTCAAAGTAAATGTATTTCGGTTGCTTTTGGTGACTTTCCTTCGCTTCGGATGCTGCTAATGCCGAGCTGAAAGTGACACGCATCACCCCGGGAATGGTTCGGTGATGGCCATGCAATTGAAAGAATGTCTTTTTTTTATTTAGAAATAAATATCTCTCTGTGTGACACCATCGTCTTCCTGGGTGGTTCAACACACCCGTGGCCCCTGTCGCCCATCAGAGCGGCACGGTGCGCGTCCTCTGGGCCCTGCACGAGGAGGATGTGGAGGATTCTCCGGGGGATCCCTTGGGGGACCCCTCTGGGGCAAGGGCCCAGTACCATGGGGTGGTGCGGGGCGTCCGCAGCCTCAACCTGCTGAACCCGGCAAGCGAAGTGCCGGGGAACCTGGGTCTCACCGACGCCGTGGACCTATGCAACCGTAACGTGAGCTGCCGCATCACACGGCCACGTGGAGACCGTGCCGGTTGCTCGGCTGTGATCCCCACTTAAGTAGCCAGAATGTTACGTCTTCATCTATTCCAAATTCTATTGTGGTATGACTTGAGACAATCGGAATGCTTGTTCAGCAGCCCATCATGCCATGTTGGATTTCAAATTGCTAGCGTTAAGTTTATTTTGTTTAACCAGGTGAAAACTCAAGAGACATGGAAGAGTGACCTTGGTCACCTAAATGACAAAACAATAAAACACAAAACAAAGTACAGGGCAAAACATCTTACAGAAATCGATGCAAAAAACAACTGCATGACAAAATAAATTATAAATATAATCAAGTATTGATTAAAATACATTTCCTACAAAGAAAGTTGGCTCAGATATATTACTTTTTGAAATTGTTCACAGTAAAATTAAGTTACAGAAGTGTTCAAGAAGATGTAGGGTGCTGATTGCACCAGCACACGAGTGAACAGACTGCGGAAGGCAATATCATCACAGAACTACTTCTGAGATCCTTTCCTGGTGACCTCTTATCAACACTCGGGGTGCTGCACTGTCCCGTGTGCCCTGCTGTAGAGACGATTGTCACATAGCGATACAACTGATATTTATTTTAGAGCTGGACATTTTGTTACATTAAGTGAAAGATATATAATGATTGTTCTTTGCAGTCATTTGTAACCAGAATAAGACTCAACTTACAACAATTCAGAACCTGCTTTAATATGGCTCTTTCATTTTTAATTAGCAGTTTTATGTGTGGGAGAAAATCAGAGTATATGGAGAAAATCTACCCTGCATACACTTACGTGTAGACATGTATTTATAGGTGTGTATACCGACATCTCTAGTTTATTGGTTAAGGCCTTTGAGACCATCAATAGGCCAGGGCTCTGGGATATTGTTCATGCTTTTGGGTTCCCTGACCCTCTGCTCACAATCCACCTGAAGACGGCCGCTTGTGTTGAGTTTGAGACGTCGTGGGTTTTTTGCTTTTCATTTAGATTTTTGTTTTCTATCTACATGACTTTACTGAAGAACCAAGAATATCAATTCCTGCAGTCACGAAAGTTTTAAGTCTAAACTTAATCATTAAGGACCTTCATGATGGTGGGCAGGCACAGATAAAGCTGCATGGCAGGGAATCAGCCATTCCCTGTTCAACTTGGGGTGTGACAGGGACGTCCCTTGGCTCATTATTGAACAGATTTTTTTTGACCACATGGTTTGAGAAGCTTTCCATGGCTGAACTAGAGGAATTTCCATCTGGTACAGATACAATGGAAAGCTGATCGTTGCCTGGGTGTGGTCAAGGGATAGCTCCCTATTGATCAACCTTGTTATGTACCTGGCGCGGTGTGTAAACATTGCCACTAGGGAGACGAAGGCGGCCGGGCGTGGTGTTGGCCACCCACCCCCTTGTGTGCTGTGCCAGCCTTTATAGGTGCTCGCTAACAGCACTTGCCCCTACAGTATGTTAAGGCTATACAGGGGATCTTTGTCTTCTTTTTGTTTCACAGGTGGAGGTGCCATCAAGTGACACGACCTACTGGTGCCAGATCTTCCGGCTGCCCGAGTTGCACACCAAGCACCATGTGATCCGGGTCAGTCTCTCCTGTAACAGCATCTGCCCCAACGAGCACAGAGTGAACATAGAGTGAACATAGAGTGAACACAGAGTGAACCCACAGAGTGAACCCACAGAGTGAACACACAGAGTGAACACAGAGTGAGCACAGAGTGAACACACAGAGTGAACACAGAGTGAGCACACAGAGTGAGCACAGAGTGAGCACACAAAGTGAACACACAGAGTGAACACACAGAGTGAACACAGAGTGAGCGCAGAGTGAGCACAGAGTGAACACAGAGTGAGCACAGAATGAACACACAGAGTGAACACACAGAGTGAGCACAGATTGAACACAGAGTGAACACAGAGTGAGCACAGAGTGAACACAGAGTGAGCACAGAGTGAACGTAGAGTAAACACAGAGTGAACACAGTAAACACAGAGTGAGCACACAGAGTGAGCACACAGAGTGAGCACAGAGTGAGCACAGAGTGAACACAGAGTGAGCACAGAGTGAGCACAGAGTGAACACAGAGTGAGCACAGAGTGAACACAGTAAACACAGAGTGAGCACACAGAGTGAGCACACAGAGTGAGCACACAGAGTGAACACAGAGTGAACACAGAGTGAGCGCAGAGTGAGCACAGAGTGAACACAGAGTGAGCACAGAGTGAACACAGAGTGAACACAGAGTGAACACAGAGTGAGCACAGAGTGAGCACAGAGTGAGCACAGAGTGAACACAGAGTGAGAACACAGAGTGAAAACACAGAGTGAACACAGAGTGAGCACAGAGTGAACACAGAGTGAGCACAGAGTGAGCACAGAGTGAGCACAGAGTGAGCACAGAGTGAGCACAGAGTGAGCACAGAGTGAGAACACAGAGTGAAAACACAGAGTGAACACACAGAGTGAGCACAGAGTGAGCACAGAGTGAACACAGAGTGAGCACAGAGTGAACACAGAGTGAACACAGAGTGAACACAGAGTGAACACAGAGTGAACACAGAGTGAACACAGAGTGAGAACACAAAGTGAACACACAGAGTGAACACAGAGTGAGCACACAGAGTGAACACAGAGTGAGCACAGAGCACAGAGTGAACACAGAGTGAACACAGAGTGAACACAGAGTGAAAACACAGAGTGAACACACAGAGTGAGCACAGAGTGAGCACACAGAGTGAGCACAGAGTGAGCGCACAGAGCACAGAGTGAACACAGAGTGAGCACAGAGTGAACCCAGAATGACAACACAGAGTAAACACACAGAGTGAACACAGGGTAAACACAGAGTGAACACACAGAGTGAGCACAGGGTGAGCACACAGGGTGAGCACACAGAGTGAACACAGAGTGAACACTCAGAGTGAACACACAGAGTGAGCACAGAGTGAGCACAGAGTGAACACAGAGTGAACACACAGAGTGAACACACAAAGTGAACACAGAGTGACAACACAGAGTGAACACACAGGGTGAGCACAGGGTGAGCACAGAGCTCAGCATTCCTTCCGGCTGTCTGCTGCACTGAGCAGCTTTACTTTATTGAATAGTTGCTGAGCACAGGCCAAAAGGTCCAAAACCCCAAGTGACCAGGAAAAATAGCACTTTCAAAGTTCTATAATGTGAGTACACAGATCTTTTGAATTGAGCAAGGTTTAGAATAGAGCGTGGGACAAGAGACAATGGGAGATCATTGCAAAGTCGGGCAGTGCGAGGGAAGAAGCAGCTAGAGGAGCACTGTGACCTGCAGCAGGTTGAACACTGTGTGGATCAGATGACACAGTATGGTCAACAGTCCTCAAGACCGGAGGATAAGTACATGATCGAAGTTCACAACAACAGTAACTAGAATAGTAATAATAGAAGAGTGATAAGGAGACGACTCACCACCTGTGAATGAGTGAATGGAGTGAATCAGTAAATGCTTAAATAAATAACTTTTGCTAACCTCCGATTAGCACGGTTGGCTATGTGCATATACATACATGTGATATCAGTCGTTGTGTCTCCACTCTTAACAAGCAATTGCGTGGCATTCATCTCAATTGCTGGCCATATTCTAGTGGTTACAATTCCACAGTCCCATAGTGGCAGTCAGATCATCATTCCATAGGACATCTGCTGTGATTTGACGAATTTTCATGACTCGGGGTCACAGTTCGATCAAAGAATGGGTTCTTTTCCATCTCGTTTATATTGTCTGTCACGATTGTACTGTCTGCTGATTCTGTCTTTCTCATTTGTATTTTAATTTTTTTCTGCCTAATTAACCTTATTCATATTAAGGTTACATTTGCATAGACTTTGCATACAAGGTACACTCTACAAAATAAAATACGAATGATAAAATTGTTAAATAGCTAGATAATTGAGTTTTCTGTGGCCAGGTAAGAGGCCATTGAATGCTGCAGTCTCATTCTCAAGGGAGACCTGGAATGATGGGTTGCATCAACCCCCAAATAGGTTTTAATGCTTAGCCATCTGATGCAAAAGACCAACATTCTTCAGATAGTGTTGCCTGACCGGATATTGTTTGCATTTGTTTATTGTTCATTATCTCTGCTCTTTCTTTGGAAACGGGCTGGGTCGCGAAACATAATCATGGGGAGGATGTTTGTTTCACTTTTGTGCTGTTGGTCTCGCTTCCCTTCTTCAATAGTTAACAGTGAAAGAGCCTTGGTTGCCCATATTTTCCGTGTTCTGAAATGTTTGAAAAGAGGCCAGGGTGCGGCTTTTTCTTTTCCCATGATGTGTAATTTTAGAATGATGGCTGATCTTTTGTATGTTGAACTTCTCTCACAACATACATAGTCTCAACCCTAGTTATCGGAGGTGCGATGATTACTGCAGAATGGCAGTGGAGAAGATTAATCTAACCGAGCCTTAGTTTGCAAATAAAAGCATCTTTCAGAAGTTTTGTTTAAAAAAAATGTGATGCATATTAAAGTAAGACACAACCTAAAATTAATTAACTGGCTTGCTCTGATGTACCCTGAAATAAGTGTTTGTCGTATGCTTACAGAACTGATTTTTTTAATTCTCAGAGCTAGAACATCTTCAGTTAAGTTTGAAACTAAATTCATTATGATATTAGATTATTTATTGGTGGTTCAGGCTCAAGACCGCCAACTCCTTACACTGAAGAACCCAGTTTAATTCTCAGGTCCTGAAACTCGAATTCAAACCCAGGATCTTAGTGTTGCCGGCTCGGTGTACAGACAGCATCAGCCCCTGGAGGCCCCTAGCCACCCCCATTCGTGGATTTTATTTAATTATTTATTCCTTTTGGCAGAGGTTGTTGATGTGGGAGATCTCCTGGAGGAAACCACTTGGGGCATCCCACTTATTTAATTACATTGTAACCTCGTGTTACCTCGCCCTTTCAAATGTCCATGGCTGCGAAAATATTACCATGTGCACGCACTGTGTGTTTTATATAAATGTATGTGTAGTGTTGTACTCACACGGACACTCTTAACTTTCCACCTGTGTCACTTTATTACCTTGCATCCAGTGTGGATGCTCCTCACTTCACGTTAACACACACACACCCTTTGTTCCGAACTCCCCGACTCTCCCTATTCACCTTCGCGCACCCCGTGAGCGGTAACCACTCTGTCTACCCCACGGTACTCTCCTATCCCCTCTCACTGTCCTAACTCCCCTCGCCTGTCCTGCTTCCCTCACACCTCAGCCCTCGTTCCTGCCCCAGCAGGGGATCAGCCAACACTGCTGACGAGGCCGAGTTGAAGAGGGCGAGGTCCCAGGTGTCTTCTCCCCGACTCTTGTCCTCTTCATCCCTGGATAACCAACCCCGTGCTGCTCCGCACACTCCCTTATATATCACTCCTCACTTACCCCCCCATTAAGCTACCGCCTCCACGCGTCTCCGGCATGCGCTATCCTCCAATTATCGCCTCCATCTCCCGCCTTTCCGGCGCCTACCCCGTGCCCCAATGCTCACACCTGCTCGTCCCCAAATGCACACACTCAATCTATCCTTCGCCCCCTAATTGGCGCCACGCCACACCAGTGTCACCTCACATCACCCCTCACTAACCCCGCGCGTCACACCACTACATTACCCCCCCCCCCCCCGTGATGTAAAACCCAGCCATCCCAGCTGACCTCAAATACAACTTTAGTAACGTGCGAACCCATGACACAGGTAACAACAAAAACCATGAATAAAAACCACAACCGTAGAACAATAAAAACTATTTGTGGGGGTGTAAGAGTGCAGTCTGTTCTGCCGAGGATAGCACGGCGCAACGGTCCATGGCTCCGTCGATTCCACATTCCTCAGCGGAACGTAACTCTCCGGGAGCGGGTTCCTGCGGCCGTCCTGTCCCCGCGAACCGGGTCCAGCACGGCCGGAGGAGGAGAAGGGCCAAACCTGGACGAGGAGCGATGTCCCTTCCATGACAAACTGTGTGCCGATGGCGGGTCACGTGGCGGTTGTGTACCTTGCACCCGCTCGTTGACCACCTGCCGCTGGGCCAAGTTATTTATGGTGGCCTCTCGAGCCTCTCTCAGCCAGTCGAGGGTCACCTGCATGGGAACCGGCACGGTGGATCCCTTGCCCGGTAGATGCACGCCCAATTGTACCTGCATGGGGGGTTCGGGTTCCCTACCATACATTAAATAAAAGGGCGAAAACCCCGTCAAGGCATGGGGGGCCAGCCTATATGCAGCAAGGACACCCGGGATGTGCCAATCGGACTGAGCCGCGTTTATCTGCTGACACAACATGGTCGTCAAGGTCCGGTGCAATCGCTCAACAACTCCATCTGTTTGTGGGTGGTAGGGGGACGTCCGAATCTTTTTATTGCCCAGGGAGTCACACACCTCCTTCAGTAGCTTGGAGGAAAATGTTTTACCCTGGTCAGTGAGCAGCTTTTCTGGGGCACCCTTATCAAACACATACCCCTGCAGAAAGGCCTCAGTTATGACACAGCCAACTGATCAGACAAAGGCCACACCATTGGCCATCAGGTAAGATACTCAACTTCAACCAGCAAATATTTGTGACCCCTCTGGGTAATGGGAAACGGTCCCTAAATGTCCAATGCCACCAATTCGTTCACGCGAGACCGTTATGGACTGCAGCGGCACCCTGTGTGGTTGTGCAGGTGACTTCCAACGCGCCCACTCTGAACAAGCTTTAATGAACAGATACACATCATTGTCCATCCCTGGCCAATAGAAATCCATCTTTAAGGTTGAGAGCGTTTTCTTGACACCCAAATGTATACGTTTTTCATGCAACGAGTGCGTAAGTCTGCCTCGTAGGCTCGTGGGCACCACTAAACAAAAAGTTGGAGCTTTACATCCCATCGTAGGAGGAGCCCCTCACTGAGTTGCAGAAAAGGTCACCCCGCTGCACTCGGTTGTCGACAGGTACGGCGTCGCAATTTCAGCAGGGAGGCATCCTCAACCTGGAGCCGTCCCCACTCGCTGTAGTTCAGGCCTAATATGCGGTCGGCCGGCGCTTGTGCATGGCTGGCCTGGACCGAGTCATCTGCGGCGACCATCTCAGGCGATTTCTGCAGCGGCGGTCTGCACCGAGTCGATCCCCTTACGCACCTGCATGAGCCGGGCGGCGGCAGCCGGGACAGCGCATCCGCATTCACATGGCACGCCCCCTTCCTATACAGTACAGTAAAGGAGAATCCCTGGAGGATTTCAATCCAACGGACCATTTGACCGGAGGGTTGGTCCACACGCATGGAGTATTGGAGTGCTCCGTGGTCGGTTTGAACAAGGAAGTCCCTGCCGTACAAGTATGGGCGGTACAACTGCATAAAATGGACCATGGCAAGCAGCTCCCTGCGTGTGACGCAATACCGCTGCTCAGCGGGAGACAAAACGTGGCTGCCGTATGCCACAACCCTCTCTACCCCATCGACGACCTGGAACAGGACAGCACCTATGCCCGTATTACTGGCGTCAGTGTCCAGGGTAAGGGCTTGGCGAAATCTGGATAAATGAGCAGTGGTGCACTGGCCAGAGCGTCACGATGTGCTACAAAAGAATCATTCTCCGCCTTGTCCCAACGAAATCTCTGTCCCTTGGCTGTTAGAGCATGGAGCGGTTTGGCAATTGTCGCAAAATTATTTGCAAACCTGCGATAGTATGAGGCAAACACCATAAAGCTGCGGACCTCTGCCACCGATTTGGGGGTTGGCCACGTGCGCATGCAGGCCGTATTATCCAGGTCGGTAGCGACCCCTGACGTGCTGACGACATGGCCCAATGCTTCACCAAAGCTTGCAACAAATGACATTTTTGCGGCTTAAATTTCAAGTTTGCATCACGCACTTGAGAGAAAACAGAGCGCATCCGCTGCAAGTGCTCGTCAAAAGTGCGACCGAAGACAATGATGTCATCTAAATAAATAAGGCACAATTCCCATTGCAAACCAGATAGAACCAATTCCATGACGCGCTAAAAGGTAGCCGGCGCAAAGTGAAGCCCCATCGGGAGACAATTGAAATGAAACAATCCCTGTGGTGTTCGAAACACCGTTTTAGGTCTAGATTCTGCATCCAAGGGCAGTTGCCAAAATCCTGACAGCAAATCTAGGGTTGAGAAGAACAGTGCACCAAGGATTCGTCCATGCGAGGAAGCGGGTATGCGTCTGCTACAGAAATTTTGTTGAGCTTAGGAAAGTCAACGCAAAATCGCATAAAGCCGTCACATTTTTTGACCAATACAATGGGCGCCCCTCAAGGGCTGGTGGAGGGAGAGACAATGTCTGCAGCCAACATCTCATCCACAGCCTGACGAACACATTCCTTTTCATGAGGGCTCATTCTGTGAGAATTTAATCGAATGGGAGGCGAGTTCCCCGTATGAATATGGTGCTGCAAGAGGGTGGTCCGGCCTATGTCGTATTTACCATTGCTAAAAACGTCCCGGAATTTGTGCAAAAGTCGCCGAAGGCGCGCTCGCTGCTTTGTCGATAAATCGCTGTTTTTCTGACATAACCTCTGCATCCACGCAGATTCGATGTCGCTAGCAGGCGAGACATCCTCGACAACACCTGACATGCACACCATTCGCTCCGTGCATTGAGCTGCCGTCGCATGTGCCAACACGGTGCCTGCCTGGATAACTACCGGTGTATAGCCTGCATTAACCACTTGGAGGAAGGGATCGCAGTTTGCCGGCACGACAGCCAGTGCCCCCACTAAGGAGGGTGTTCACGATATCGCGTTAGAGGGGGTCAAGAGGATCCCCTCCTCCAGATTTAGCAGGGCCAAGCTCTTACGCAACCGCAGTGGTACAAGCATCTGTGTGACTGGTGGAACGCACACCGTCTGGCTAACTGCAGCCAGCACAAACACATTAACCAATGTATATGTTGTGGGGGATTTCAAAAAATGCAGGCACTGCCCCGACGGCATCTCGATACATCCCTGAGGGGCATCCTGCACGAAAAAATCTGTGCCCAACAAACAGGGCACTGCCAGCGTGTGGTCACCACATCTACGCCTCTATATAAGGAACAAAACAGTTTGACTTCTCCACAAATCTGGCTGTTGCCTGATGAAGCTAGTTATAATTACCGGCGAAATGTCGTTCTTAAAATTGTAAATGTTGTGGCTTGGCTCTCCAACACACCGGTGTGCTGTACAAGTGACGAATTGGCACGTTCTGTTTACGTGACAATCCTTCCTAGTTGGCTGTGTCAGGTGGTGGCGGGTTTTAACGACACATATATTTACGCGATCTAACCCAAAAAACCTCTTATGGATGATATTGGTCGCGAAAGCCTACGTGTTAAACCAAGTCCACTCAGCTCCAGATCCTCCTGTATTGCATCAGCGCATCTCTTATTTAGCCCTTACTGAACCCATTTAGCTCCCTGTATTAATGTACATTGAACTTCTTTCATACCGTATGTAGCCAACCGTACTAATTGGCCAAACAGAAACTTCTTGGACATGCGGTGGTTGGACATGTGGACTACATAACCCATCCAACGCAGCCTTGCCAGCCGGAGAAGCTCACCGGTGGGACTGTGCCCCAGATCTTTCACAATCCAGTCAGCAACAAGTTGGTCAAACTAATTATAGACCTACATGCTCACAATTAGCCAGGTTCAGTACCTTGCCATGTTGCTCATCGGCAGTGCCAGTTGATTTCAGAGCAGAGTCTCGGTCTTCCCTAGGTTAACTTAGCCTAAAATAATCCGTACTGCTGCAAAGTGATCACCATCGGCAACAAGGCCACAAAGGTGGCCAAATGTGTGTGGTTCTGCCTTTGTGGCCATAAATCAGTCAAGGAATCCATCTTCCTGTGGTTGACGCAAGTTCGCACAACCACCTTATTTTACAAACAGTTTGGTAAGGCTTGACAGTCAAACCTTGTCTATGTTTCTTGCTGCTGGTGCTGACAGTGTTAGCGATGCTGATAATGCCGATTCTGTGGTCACTCGGAGAACAGGTGGAACCTCTGGTGGAGCCTGGCCACGAGGGCATGGTGCACCACATCCTGCTGTACCAATGCGCCCTGGGCCTACGTGAGGCCATTCTACAGTCGGGCCACCGCTGTTACCAGGCCAACATGCCAGAGGAGTTCCGCTCCTGCGAGAGCATCCTCTTTGCCTGGGCCATCGGCGGCGGAGTGCGAGCGTACACTCACCCACACCGCTCTCCACTCACTCAGCCATCTAGCCTCTTGAACACCCACCCACAAACCTACCCACCTGCTCACACTCCCATACAAAGACAAAGATCCTCCTATAGCCTTAAAAAGCTTTTGGGGCAAGTGCTATTGGCGAGCATATATGAAGGCTGGCACGGCACACGAGGAGGTGGGTGGCAAGCACCGTGCCCTACTCGAGCTAGGGAGGCTCAGGACAGGTATCACACTCGGGTCGCCTGATTTGTTGCGCAACGTGCTAATCGCTGCACTACTGCTCCCCACACACTTCCATAGTTTCACGCATCCACATGCACCTTGGCTCATCTGCTTACCCTGACATCGGTCAAATCTCCCAACAGAGCACCTGCATGCCGCGGTGCCTGAACAGCCACTATGCGCACACCAGCATACCCACACGCTCAGTCATCCGTGAACCCACCTGCCCATCCACCCTCTCACCCGCTCAACCGGACACACGCCCACTCACCCGCTCACCATTGCACCCGCTTATCCACTATCTATTACATAAAAATGAGAGCGACTTCCATAGTTGTTCATTTATGACAATGTTTTGGAAAGGCTGCAGATTTTGCATATTATAAATCTATGCTTATAACCTGAACTTTTTACAAAGTTTTACCTCCAAATTTTGCTTGGTTTCAGAAAAAAAAAAATTACTTAGTCTTGCGCTAAATACTTTAAAAAGATATGGTCCCCATCACAAATGTACCAAGTAATTCGATCATATGGAGTGTGGTGTTAAAGCCAAAATAAAGTGGGCGAAGCCTGTTACTGGTCGTCACTGTGCCCTAACACCGATACCCCTTAGTTCATTCAGTGATTACCTGCCCGAATGAACATTAAGTTGGTGCTCATCTCATAGTCCTAGGCCAGAGGTAGACACTCCATATTCCTATGGCGGGGGTGAGTCTCTCAAATTGGACAATGACTTTTGACTTCCCCACACAGTGGTACCAATTTTATGAACCCTGTAGGAATTATTGACTGATTCAACCGCAACCCAGAATTGGAACTCGCAACTTCCGTTTGCGAGCCGCTCACTGATGTGTTACGTGCTCCCCTCCACGCTCTCTTTCTCAGGCCTTTCTTTACCCACCGCATGTGGGACTGTCTCTGGGTGAGCCAGGGGACCCAGTGTTTGTGCTCATGGAGACGCACTATGACAATCCGCTCCAATTGTCTGGTAAGGATCAATTGCATAATTTACATTTTGTTATTGTTTTCCTGATTTTATTTCAAATATGCGTTTGCATTTTTTAACGAGACGTCCATTCAGAACTCCCACAAGGCAGTGTCAGGGAACCGCCAACAGAAGCAGACATCACAGAAAATATCTCCGTTTGTATGAACACAATAGGGGGCACCATCTGTAGAGTCACATATGACCAAGTGATTATCAGCAGCAAGTCTGTGTTCACAAACCCAGCATTATAGTAACATTCATCTTCCACCAATGTATTATATGGGTCTTTCGGTAAAGCCACGTAGATAGATTCACCTGACGACGATTGATTGTGTTGCGATCGAAACGTCGTGATATTTTTATTATTTTTATATCTACATGGCTTTACCGAAAGACCCATAGAATATGTATTCCTGCAGTCACGAAAGCTTTAAATCAAGATTCCACCAATGTGTTGCTCCTCACAAATTTGGTGGCATATATAACGCCACTCCTCTGTGTGTGGGACTGAATCCTTGGCAGAGCAAAGGCTGAAATGTTTCTGATAGTTTGTGTTGACAAAATATGTGGCCATTTGTTTTCTCGAGACCGGATATGTATGATATTGTACATTACCAAATATTTACTTTCCCTTGCTTTAAGTCCCACAGTAGTATGTAGTCTGTAGTAGGGTCAGTTATAACAACTTGAACATTAATGTGTGCATTTTGAAGTCAATGATCATTTTACCAGTGAGTAAACAATGGGTATATCTATTGGCTTTAAGTCATGTATCACTGTTGTGAATTTATTTTATAAGAAGTGCAGCTGTCGAGTAAACCTGCTTTGTAGCACATAGATTGCACAACATGGTTCTTAATTGTAGCTGTATGACAGGAGTTGAAGTCAAGGGGTCTTCCAGATGACAAAGATTTACTTTAAATGAATGTGGGCAGGGATCCATATTTGGCCCTCCTTACCCCAACATACAAAACGAATAGGAAACCATTCAACTGTTCTTTACAAGTGAAACTGATAGAACAAAGCTGGAATTGTGATTTATTAACAAGAAAAGAGATAATCCTATTGATCACCTCATAGTTGTCCAGGCACCATTTGTCAACCAGTCACCCCAGAAAATTACTCATCATGCTCGCAACTTTGCCTGTTTATATTATACCATGTTTAAGAAACTATGAACCTCTATCTTCTCCTTTTCTTCACCATTATCTGATGCCATAATCTGTTCCAATAAACGTAACTTCAACGTTAAACACGTCATTGATACATTTGCACCAGTTTAACGCTTAACCAACTGGTTCACCTCTCGCGACAACCGTTGGCCCTCGGCAGCAGCTGTTATATCAAAGTGCAGCGGATGCCGACTGGAAACCCATTTACGCTCCGGACTTGAAGCTGACTGCATTACATATCATCTTGCCTGAAAATCCACCAACAAGCTCATCATGGCCCCACGCACTTCATACACAAACAATTGTATTAACACTGTAGCTTACCACCTGCATCAACTCTGGTCCACACTTGATGCCATTTTCCATCTCAACCCTGAGTTGATTTGGTGCAATCACCTGACCGACTCATCATTCATCCTTCAAGAGTCAAGATCACCAGCGTCTTCTCCACCATCAGGAACTCTCTGTCGGCCCGTCATCATCAACCCCCGGCCATTCCTTTTCTTGACCCTCATTCTATCCTCTCCTCCCTCCCACCTGTGACACCCCGAGAGGTTCTCAGTCTAATTCCTTAGATCTCCTAACAGCCAGCGGCTTCAAGCATTGTGCTGATGAATGTGTAAATGAGTTCCAAACAAGTCATACCTCATCATGGGACCTCCTTTGCCAGTACCAAAATATGAGGATAGGTTTTTTCCCCTTTTATCTGGCAACAGAGTGTTTTTTTTTCATTTTGATCACAAGTATTGTGGTTAATGCAGACATGATTCCTTGTAAAAGGTTTCAGTTTGGTGTTTTAACAACTGTTTTGTTGCCAGATTAAAGGGGAAAACCTTATTCTCAGGTCATACCTCCTTTTGTTCTCTTCACCATGCTTTTCCAAACCTTCCATGACTCTCCATCAATCCCATTAATTTCCCATAATGGTTTCCCAAACCGACCCCTAATTTCCATTTAGTTTTCCATGACGACCAATCTTATTTGAATGTTCTCCACCTTCAAATATGATTTGTACTCCTATGTGAGCTCCCTCTCTGATAGCTTCTCGCCAATGAGAGTCGAGTATGCTATCCAAACTTACGAGCCGTTAGACATGGTGATTGTATATTTATTTGTTTCCGAATAGGGTTTGCCTCTTGACATCCATTACAAATGTACAACGATACTTTCTCATGTTGCTCACACCTCCTTTTAGTCCAGTATTTTCACTCCGTCACTTAAATTGGGCCAATTGAACCTCTACTAAAGAAATCTAGCTCTGACCCTGAAACTGAAAACTACTGCCCTATCACAAACTTATTAGCCATCTCCAAATTCCTTCTAGAGCACCTCGCCCTTGTTAGAATCAAAGATCACATCACTTCATCCCCTAACTTCTGCTCCCCTAAGTCTGCCTACCGCCCAGCTCACTCTACAGAGACTGCACTAATGAAGATCATTGATGACATCCAGGCCTCTATCGATTCTGGTTCCATCATTGCTCTTGTTGGCCATGACATTTCTGCCATCTTTGACACTTTAATCAATGATATTTTGATTGAACGCTTAGCATCCGATTTCATCAGCAGCATAGCTCTGCTGTGGCTCACGTGGTAGTTCTTTAGTTTATAGTTTATGGCTCTCTGACTGAAGCTCCTATATGAAGGATTAAAAGTGCTCGACTTCCGGTCATGCATTGCAGGTGTCCCTCAGGGAATCCTCTTGGGTCCTTTACTTTTCTCACTCTCTATCTATATACTATATCTAGGTTAGTTTCAACACAGTACACAAAATCCGTGATTTAATCCCATCTGTAAAGGATGTGATTCCTGACATGCAATACCCTGGTGTCTACAAACTGAGTTGTGGTTGCAGCAGCAGTTAATACATTTCTCAGTCTGCATCTCAACAACTGGTCGCCGCATCGACAGTCTGCAAGCCATTTGGCTACCATGAGAGATTCGTTCATGAGGCGATCCACATATACAAACACAGAGACAATTTCAACCGAGAAGATGGATTCTGGCTCAGCAATCATTGGAAGGACGTAATAAACCATTTCGGATCTTAACTGATTGTGTTCACGTTTATGGTGACTTTCAGACCGCAGTCCACTCACTGGCATGACTATATATCTTGTATTCTCCGCAAGGAATGGATTTTTTGCTCCGCTGCAAATCTCATACTACCACTCTCCCTTTGACATATTTCGTTGCTTCCTCTTAGTATCTTTCACTCGACGGTCAATGGTATAGTGTATAGCAGATTGTATAATAATAAACCATTAACATTCCTTCCCTTTATTAATACTACCCCTATCCCCTCCCTTTGATGCTGCTAATCCTGCATAATGCACGGGCATAATATGACTTTGAAACCCCCCGCCCATCTCCTACGCATTTCACAAGTAGTACTAATCACATACCTGCATTTCCCATAAATATGCTAAATTCCTCCTGATATGCAAATTCTTTTGTCAAGGCGCACTTCCCCCCCTTCCAACCCAGCTTAAATAGACGCTCCAAGCGTGGTGGTGTTTCATTCAGATGCTGTCTCCCCGACAGACCTGGTCTTCACCTGAGGACGACTGCTTGCGTTGTAGCCGAAACGTCGTGAGAATTATTTTATGTTTTATTTTTATTATTTCCCTTCTACGTGACTTTACCGAAAGAACCAAGAAGATGTGTTTATTATTTTAGTTATTATCCAAATGACCAAGCCAGACCCATTTTTCAGATTCTGCACTTACTATGTGGTGCACTTTTGCATATATGCACATGTGTAAGAGTGTGCACGTCTGTGTACAGATAGTTGTGCATGAGTTTGCATGTTTATGCACATGCACATGGCTGTAACACATGCGAACAAGCGTGTGTATCTCTGGTTTTGTGTCTGCATGATGCCCAGGTATACGGGACAATTCAGGGCTGCGTCTCCACTACACGGCACAGCTGCGTGCCTATGATGCGGGTGTCATGGAGACGGGTGTCTGGGTCAGCCTGTATCACATGGTGCCGCCCCACGCCCCGCACTGGGTCTCCCAGGGCCACTGCACACGCGAGTGCCTCAACGAGGTGAGATTCACTGGCCCGAAAGTCAGATATGATTCCAGTGGTAATTTTTGTAATTTAAGCACTGATTGGCACAGGTGACCGTTAAAACTGCACTGTAGAAGGCCTAAGAGTGGACTGGTGCGTGGATGAGTTGATGCACGGGCGAGTTGGTGCGTGGATGAGCTAGTACCTGGTTGACCTGGTGACCTGATGCCTGGGTGAGCTGTTGCAAGCATGAGCCGGTATGTGGGCGAGCTGGTGCCTGGATAAGCTGGTGCATGGGCGAGCTAGTGCCTAGACGAGCTGGTGCCTGGGCGAGTTGGTGCCTGGGTGAGTTAGTGCGTGGGCAGCTGGTGCGAGCGCGAGCTGGTGCATGAGTAGCTGGTGTGCGGGAGAGCTGGTGCATGGGTAAGCTGGTGCCTGAACGAGCTGGTGCGCGGGCGAGCTGGTAAGTGGGTGAGCTGGTAAGTAAGTAGGTGAGCTGGTAAGTAAGCGGGCGAGCTGGCAAGTAAGTGGGTGAGCTGGTAAGTAAGTGGGCGAGCTGGTAAGTGGGCGAGCTGGTAAGTAAGTGGGTGAGCTGGTAAGTAAGTGGGTGAGCTGGTAAGTAAGTGGGCGAGCTATTAAGTAAGTGGGTGAGCTGGTAAGTAAGTGGGTGAGCTAGGTAAGTAAGTAGGCGAGCTATTAAGTAAGTGGGCGAGCTGGCAAGTAAGTGGACCAGCTGGTAAGTAAGTGGGTGAGCTGGTAAGTAAGTGGACGAGCTGGCAAGTAAGTGGGTGAGCTGGTAAGTGGGCGCGCTGGAAAGTAAGTGGGCGAGCTGGCAAGTAAGTGGGTGAGCTGGTAAGTAAGTGGGTGAGCTGGTAAGTAATTGGGTGAGCTGGTAAGTAAGTGGGTGAGCTGGTAAGTAAGTGGACGAGCTGGTAAGTAAGTGGACGAGCTGGTAAGTAAGTGGGCGAGCTGGCAAGTAAGTGGACGAGCTGGCAAGTAAGTGGGTGAGCTGGTAAGTAAGTGGACGAGCTGGTAAGTAAGTGGGTAAGCTGGCAAGTGAGTGGGCGAGCTGGTAAGTAAGTAGGTGAACTGGTAAGTAAGCGGGCGAGCTGGCAAGTAAGTGGGTGAGCTGGTAAGTAAGTGGGCGAGCTGGTAAGTGGGCGAGCTGGTAAGTAAGTGGGTGAGCTGGTAAGTAAGTGGGTGAGCTAGGTAAGTAAGTGGGCGAGCTATTAAGTAAGTGGGCGAGCTGGAAAGTAAGTGGACGAGCTGGCAAGTAAGTGGGTGAGCTGGTAAGTAAGTGGACGAGCTGGCAAGTAAGTGGGTGAGCTGGTAAGTAAGTGGGTGAGCTGGTAAGTAAGTGGGTGAGCTGGTAAGTAAGTGGGCGCGCTGGTAAGTAAGTGGGCGAGCTGGCAAGTAAGTGGGCGAGCTGGCAAGTAAGTGGGTGAGCTGGTAAGTAAGTGGGTGAGCTGGTAAGTAATTGGGTGAGCTGGTAAGTAAGTGGGTGAGCTGGTAAGTAAGTGGGCGAGCTGGCAAGTAAGTGGGTGAGCTGGTAAGTAAGCAGGCGAGCTGGCAAGTGGGTGAGCTGGTAAGTAAGTGGGTGAGCTGGTAAGTAAGTGGGTGAGCTGGTAAGTAAGTGGGTTAGTTGGTAAGTAAGTAGGTGAGCTGGTAAGTAAGCGGGCAAGCTGGCAAGTAAGTGGGTGAGCTGGTAAGTAAGTGGGCGAGCTGGTAAGTGGGTGAGCTGGTAAGTAAGTGGGTGAGCTGGTAAGTAAGTGGGTGAGCTAGGTAAGTAAGTGGGCGAGCTATTAAGTGGGCGAGGTGGCAAGTAAGTGGACGAGCTGGCAAGTAAGTGGGTGAGCTGGTAAGTAAGTGGACGAGCTGGCAAGTAAGTGGGTGAGCTGGTAAGTATGTGGGTGAGCTGGTAAGTAAGTGGGCGAGCTGGTAAGTAAGTAGGTGAGCTGGTAAGTAAGCGGGCAAGCTGGCAAGTAAGTGGGCGCGCTGGTAAGTGGGCGAGCTATTAAGTGGGCGAGCTGGCAAGTAAGTGGGCGAGCTGGCAAGTAAGTGGGTGAGCTGGTAAGTAAGTGGGTGAGCTGGTAAGTAAGTGGGTGAGCTGGTAAGTAAGCAGGCGAGCTGGCAAGTGGGTGAGCTGGTAAGTAAGTGGGTGAGCTGGTAAGTAATTGGGTTAGTTGGTAAGTAAGTGGGTGAGCTGGCAAGTAAGTGGGTGAGCTGGTAAGTAAGTGGGTGAGCTGGTAAGTAAGTGGGTTAGTTGTTAAGTAAGTGGGTTAGTTGGTAAGTAAGTGGGTGAGCTGGTAAGTAAGTTGGTGAGCTGGTAACTAAGTGGGCGAGCTGGCAAGTAAGTGGGTGAGCTGGTAAGTAAGTGGGTTAGTTGGTAAGTAAGTGGGTTAGTTGGTAAGTAAGTGGGTGAGCTGGTAAGTAAGTGGGTTAGTTGGTAAGTAAGTGGGTGAGCTGGTAAGTAAGTGGGCGAGCTGGCAAGTAAGTGGGTGAGCTGGTAAGTAAGTGGGTAAGCTGGTAAGTAAGTGGGTGAGCTGGTAAGTAAGTGGGTAAGCTGGTAAGTAAGTGGGTGAGCTGGTAAGTGGGTGAGCTGGCAAGTAAGTGGGTGAGCTGGTAAGTAAGTGTGCGAGCTGGTAAGTAAGTGGGTTAGTTGGTAAGTAAGTGGGTGAGCTGGTAAGTAAGTGGGTGAGCTGGTAAGTAAATGGGTAAGCTGGTAAGTAAGTGGGTGAGCTGGTAAGTAAGTGGGTGAGCTGGCAAGTAAGTGAGTGAGCTTGTAAGTAAGTGGGCGAGCTGGTAAGTAAGTGGGTGAGCTGGTAAGTAAGTGGGCGAGCTGGCAAGTAAGTGGGTTAGCTGGCAAGTAAGTGGGTGAGCTGGTAAGTAAGTGGAGGAGCTGGCAAGTAAGTGGTTGAGCTGGTAAGTAAGTGGGTGAGCTGGTAAGTAAGTGGGTGCGCTGGCAAGTAAGTGGGTGAGCTGGTAAGTAAGTGGGCGAGCTGGTAAGTGGATAAGCTGGTGCGTGTGTCCTCGGATGTATGATGCGACGTCAAAATTCCCAAATTAGAATAAGGTACACTCTTCTACTACATTGACTAATTCCTGTTATCTATGCTGGGCTCGCCGACTATATTGTAGGATGCAACATTTCTCCTCCTTTCTTACTGTCTAGCCTTGGACATTGGAACTGCCAGCCATTGTCTTTCCCGAAGTTTCTCAAGTACAACATGCACATCAAGTGAAACAACTACCTATAGAGTACCAGACTAAGCTAAAGCACCTTTATGATTCTTATGGATAAATTTAATTCCTGAATAGCAGCAGTTAGCAATAAACTACATTAAAATAATGCTGTTGAGAACACACCAGCAATAAATTTGACCCAATTAACAAGTAATGTTTTCACATTTTGTGAAAGCACTGTTACTTTAATCCCCATGTAAACAGATATACCAGTGGGATTTTAAAACATAGGCGATGGTTTTGGATATCACTTGAGCGAATATTTCTATGTGCAGCTTTAAGAGCGGGCAATGTTGTTAGAGATTTGTTTACGCGAGGTCACCGTTGCAATGATGTTTAATGTGTCTCCATGGGTTTATTTAATATTCTGGTTAAATAGAGGAGACTGACCCACAATCTGAAAGCTGCGAGTTCATATCCTAGCCAGGTGTTGACAGCCTATCATTCCTCTAGAGATAATTAAAATGTGTCCCACTTTGCAGAGTGTCAGCAGCGCTTATCCCATGGATATGTAGTGTTGTAAATAACAGATGAATAAACTCCTTAAGGCACACACTGGTTTATTGTATTTCTTTCGACACAGTCCCTATACACACGGAGGGATATACGGTTCCCTCACCCGTAGCCTAAGGAGGTACAGCCTCCGTACATGGCAGGACCTATACAAGGGTCTGGCTGATAGCCTAGGGAGGTACAGCCTCCGAACTGGTGGGAGCTATTCTCAGTCTACCTGCTACCTTAGCGTCCTCCGGCTGGGACCGAGGGGAGGCTTGCTTGACCCACCGCTGGCTCGGTGGGTCCCCTGACCACTGGTCACGCAGAGCCTTAGCTCTTAGAAGAGCTGGAAGGCTGGGGAGCCAGGGTCCTGCCTGCCAGGACCTATTCTCCCCTTGACCACTGGAACACTGAGCCTGAGCTCTTAGAAGAGCTGGAAGGCTTGGTCCAGGGTCCTAGCGTCTTCAGCCCAAGCTTCTATCTTCGTGTGAGGAGAACTGGCGCGTGCTCCCCGCACTCACCCTTTTATACCCGTTTGTAACGGTCTTTATCCAATCCCACGCTCCCTCGTGGAACCCTCTGATTGGTTCTTCACAATCCGTCGTTTCGATCCTCTTTTACCTCATCTGACCCCTGGCCGTTGGTCTGGCGGGAATCTGTGTTTACGATCCGCTCTCACCTCTCCCTGACCCCGGCCGTTGGTCCCAGAGTGGTAACTCTGCATTGCCCCTCTGATACATAGCGGCCCCGCAGGTTACCGAATAGAGTGTGTCTAGCACCTCTACAGATATACTGGCGACTGCCATGTCACTCGAATTTTCACCACTAGTTTAGGGCTTTAGATGGAGTTAGGATCACCTCATGGATTGAGCAGTGAGGCACATTAATTTTGTTGAAACATCTCGGTGGAGAGGTATTATCTCCCTCACTTGGTATGAAGGAGGTTGTGGGTTCGATTCCAACCTTGATGCCTGCTGTACATTTGGAGTTTCGAATGTTTATCTCTCTGCATTTAGAAATATGCGTTATATTATTTGCCTGCTATACATTTCCACGTAATAAGCCACTTTGTTGAGTTATAATTTGTCACCAGGTCGATTCTGAAAAAGAGCTAGTGGGCCTTACCTAGTGAAACTAAACTAGTAATCATCTAAATAGAGGAGGTAAGTGTTGCCTTGTCAGGGTTGTTTGTCACTTGTGTTCCCCACACCACGTCTCCGCATGTTCCTGCAGGCGCTGGGCACGGAGCGCCCGCAGGGTGTGTCAGTGTTCGCTGTGCTGCTGCATGCGCACTTAGCGGGGCGCGAGCTGCTCGTGCGACACTGGCGTGGTAACCGTGAGCTATCGCTGTTGGCGCGAGACTCGGAGTATGACTTCAACTTCCAGGAGCTGCATATGCTGCCCACCGAGAGGCTCCTCTTGCCGGTACCCAGACCCCCGACACACCACGTGGTCCCCAGGCTGAGGGCATGGCTGCGGAATCACGCAGGAAGATTTTAACGATATATCCAGGAAAGCTCCGCTGAGTCTCAAGGTTCTTCTTCAAGAATAACTCTATAATTGGAAAGATAGCCACTCTTCAGAAATATAGAGTTCTTCCCTTCTCATTTCATTGTTACCAAGTATGGCCCAATTTATATCTGTCAATTCTCTCTCAAATTTAACAAGGTTTAATTCACGAGACTGAGTCCATGTGTTGTGCGTAGTTGTCGTCAAATCTAGAAGGTGTTCTGTTCGTACCCTGTGATTCTTTGCACCCCCTGCTCCATCACCTATCCAGCTGATATCCTACATTGGAAAATTTGGGCAATTTCATTCATATGTGTTTTGTGGGTGGAAGGATACCAGTGTACTCAATGAAAACGCACACACATGAGGGGGTAGTAATAAAAGCTGCATATTTCGATTCAAGACTCTCTTTTCTGTAATTGGTATTTCTGTCATCTTGCAGCAACAGTTGCTTTGGGAGTGTTGTCTATTTTCCTCTCCATGGCACCTAACTAACTAATACAGTCGTGAACTTACTGAGGATGGTCTTATAACAAATAGAACTCCATAACCCGAATCTTTAGTGTAACCGCGAGTGTAAAAACACAAGCTCAACAAAATCTGTTTAAAGTAGCATGTGTCTCCCTGTTTTCCTCCACACCCTTCAACACTCGATGCAACACTTGACACGAAATTTAAACCCTCTTTTACATTACGCATCATGACACGTAGCAGCGGACGTTTTCCACAAGAGTGACGCAAAAAAGTCTTAACCCATTTAAGCTTTTGTGGATAAATATAAATGTAATCAATAGCCATGATAATTAACAGCTCTGCCAAAGCTCTCCTGCTGGGTGAAGGACTACCCATGCTGAGTTGATCACTAGGGTTTTTTGACAATTCTTGTGAGCTAACATTTCACCTGCACCCCTCTCCTACTATGTTTCCCAGGGAGATCACCTGACCACGGAGTGCGTGTACAATACGGAGGGGCGAGTGAACATGACGTGGGTAAGATGGCCGCACCTCACCATTGCCTTACAGGAGGACGTCGCAAACGGCCAGCACAACAATATACACTCTTAGGGGCTTCGACTGCACAGGATGTGCACAGGGAACACAAGCACATGCGTGTTTGGTGCTTGTGATTGACACCCAAGCTAGGCATACAATGATTATGCAATGTAATTGCTATGTTTACAATAAATTCATCAAATAGATTATTTAGCATTCAAAATAATGTATTTGCATGTGATTAATCATTGTAATACCAGAGGCACCACATTCACCACAACTCAAATTGTGATAATTAATTGGTGGGTGAGCGGTAAAGCGAGCAGCTCGAATTTGGAAGGTTGGGAACTCAAACCCTCGTTGGAGGTTGTATCAGCCCATCACCCCCCTATGTCAATAAAATTTCTACCATTTGGTGGGGATGTCAACAGTGGTCGTCCTATGGATAACGTTCCTCTAACATAGGAATGTGTAATTTCAACCACTGACTTAGGGCTGTAAATAGGAATTGTGCACTACTTCAATGCTCATTTGTAACACACATGCTCGTGTTATCATTATTATGAGTGAATTCCACTGGTACACATAATGTTACATAAAAAAAAATCTATGTTGAAAGTACTTCATTGCCATTTTCCCTCCAGAATATACAGATGAGAGCATTGACATTGCTCAGCTGTATGATAGATTCGATAGCAGATGGTTTAATATTTAGGAGTTTGTAGTATACATTAACAAACCAAGTGAAATGTTGTGAAACAAGTGATGCCTACGTAGATAAATAAATAACTCGTATTTGTTATTGTTAATAAAAGGTAATTCTATGATAACAAGGTTACATTAATAACATATTAATGTACTATTTGCTTGCTAAGTAACTCAGTAGTAGAGTGAGCAGCTCGCAATTGGGAGGTTGCAAGTTCAAATTCTGGTCGGGGTTAACTCCCATCATCCCTCCAGGTCAGTAACTTAGCTACCACATTTTAGTGGAAGTGAACAGTGGTTGTCCTGTGAATCGACCCGTCCCTCTTTATAGCAGTGTAGAAATGGGTAATTTCATCATTATATGTGAATATGGCCAAACAAGTGAGGTTTGTCAGATTTCTTGAATGAATGTGGTTACGCGATATTGGGATGTTTTAAAATTCCATTCCTCCATGGTGTGTGTGTGTGAATGTGTTCTTGTGCGTCGCAGGGTGGTCAAAGCACGCATAACGAGATGTGCCTCGCATATGTGCTCTACTACCCACGCGTCAACCTATCCCGCTGCCAGAGCCTGCCCGAAATCAATGGGCAGCTGGCATTCATTGGCGTCACTGATATCTACAAGCCAGTCACGTGAGTGTCTTCTCTGCACTGTGTATATTCCCCCATGTCTATCAACCCTATCTGATAATAACACCAGTGAAAAAGCTGCCCCCCTTCTAAAGGGCTATTTCCAATGTCATTATCATCATCATTCTCAGAAGACAAAAACAAATCTTACAGGACTGGTGAAGTATAACTATGGAGCCATAATAACAAACCATGTTTAACTTTGCCATCATGTCACATCTATTCTAGAAATGCCTCCCTCAGTCCATGCACCTATTTAAATCAGCATTGACCTCAAGAAAAGAAGTTTTCTGAAATCATGAAAACATTATTAAAACATTCCACCCTTTGTATGTATGTTGAACTTATTTTGTGCCATACATAGCCAACCTTGATAATCGGAGGTTCGGGGAAGGACAACAACTTAAACACTTTGGAGGTAGCTGCACGATTATTGTATGCATGACTCATTAATTAAACTGCCAGAGAGTTTCCAAAGAGTGCAGAATCATGTGGCCCCTTATGCAGATATCCAAAGCACCAAGTACTATGTACGTAGTCGAGCAACCAGCCTATAGACTAATGGAATTGTGTGATACAAGTAGTGACGTTGCTGTTCTCTGTCATGCCACCACTTGGGGATCTCACATAGGAAAGGCAAGGTAGTGACTGCTTTCTCTGCACTCTCTAAATGGTTTGCTCTTGGCTACCATTGTACCAAACACAATGCACTGTGGGCACCTGTTCTGCTGCCCACAATTCAGGACATGGCCGTTCCTCATCAAGGATCCCATGCAGTACCGCAATTTGACATTCACGGAGGCCATGGACCGCTTCCGCTGGGGCCGCCGCCAGCGCCGCCACTTCAACCAGCTCGTGCTGAGACTGCCCGTTAACATCCGATGCTCCAAATATGAGCTGGAGGAGTGGTCTGTGAGTAGCTCTCTCTGACTCACTGAGGCCCACGTCCGCCCAGTCCTGTCCACCCAAACTCCTTGTCTGTCCAGCCAATCCCTTGTCTGGCCAAACCCCGTGTCTGTCTGCCAAAACCCCGTGTCTGTCTGACCAATCCCGTGTCTGTCTGACCAATCCCGTGTCTGTGTGACCAATCCCGTGTCTGCCCAATCCCATGTCTGCCCAAACCCCGTGTCTGTCTGACCAATCCTGTGTCTGTCTGACCAATCCCGTGTCTGCCCAAACCCGTGTCTGCCCAAACCCCGTGTCTGTCTGACCAATCTCGTGTCCACCCGAACGTTCTGTCTGTCCGCCCGAATGTCGTTTCTGTCCAGTCAGTCCCGTGTCCGCCTGAACCCCATAATCACGCAACCCTTGCATCCACCCAATTCTTATGCCAAACCAAATTTTGTGTCGGGTTCTCAAGAGGAGCTAGTTGGTGACCAATGACTGCACAAAACATTAAATTTGGTTTATTAATTCAGCATATTCCAGCTCTGAGATATAATATTTCGGTTTTACATAAAATGCATAAATAATTTTGTGATGTCATCTTCAGGGATGTTTCTTTAACATAATGCAGTCCACTGCAATCTATGTGTAAGCAAATGTTAATGGAATCTACTGGAATCCGCAAACTCACTATCACTCATCTCCATATGTTCCTCCTGTACAGGTGCAAGGCATGGTCACAAACCCTGAGGTGCAGGTGCCCTGGACTTCGCTGAACACCAGCATCGTGTGCCCCACAGGCATTCCTGTCTCGGGTCACCACAGGGGTCCCAGGGTGCAGGGGGAGGGTCTGGCTCAGGGGGCACAAAGGAAAGCATCCACGGCCATCGTGGTCATTGCACTTCTCGTACTTACTGGTTCGCTAAGTACATAGAAGCGATCGCTGGAATCATATCTTCCATTGCCACCACTCTGCTTTTTCATACTCCGCAGATTCACGACACGTTACTGTAATCATAGTCATTGACATCAATGGAAGATGCAGTAAATCGAGTTCTTATCTTGTACATATTAACTTTCGTTGCGTGTTCAAAGCTGTGTGACATGAGTTTGCAGGCACGCCACTTTAATGTTAAAGCGATGTCTTAATTCGTGAGAAGAAAGAACTGAAAGCGATGTTAGATACCCCGCAATATTGCTATCTGGTAATGGATTGGATGTTACAGCCAAACTGCAGTGACATGCCGGAAAGTCATTTTCTTACTCTTAGTTCTTTCGGTAAAGTCACGTAGGTAAAAAATGAAATTAAAATTAATAAAAATAAAACAATAAAAATCACGACGTTTCGGAGGCAACACAAGTCTCCGTCATCAGGTGGGACCGTCACAGCCAGATTTGCTGCATCAAGTGAGGGAGGGATTCAAGATGTAAGCTCTTAAGTACCAGTTAAGGGGGGAGGGAGAGGAGGGGCTTATCAGAATGTGGTAGCCAATGAATGGAACGTATCGGGAGGGGGGGGCGGGGCTAACAGAGGGACGGGGTACTCGTGGTCGTGGTCAACGACGTGTTTGTGCGCAAGTCACTGTGGATGTACATAATAGAAAAGGAACGAAAATGGTTATGTTTATACCAGTGTTGGATGACAATAAAGAGAGTACTGTTAAATGTTAGGGATGTAAACACTCGGTAAAGTAAAATAGTGCCTGTCAGATAAGATGGTCCAAAAATGTGTAATTAAATCTTTTTTGCATGGTTGATAACATCTTTCCAATGATTACTAAGTTTGTACCCATCATCACGGTTGAAATTATGTCTGTGTTTGTATATCTGAATGGCTTCGTGTACAAACCTTTGATGGTAGCCAGAGGGTTTGCTGAGCACCTTAGTCTCGGAGAAAACAATCTCATGAGAGCCCACCGCGCTGTAGCGGTGATCGGCAACGGCGGACGACTCAATTTTGCCGTGTTTCAAATCTGACTTGTGCTCGCGGACACGATCAGAGACATGACGTTTCGGTTCCCCAATGTAACAGTCACCACAGCTGCAACTCAGTTTATAGACTCCAGGGTATTGCAAGTCAGGGATGACATCCTTCACAGATGGAATTAGATCACGGATTTTATGTACTGTACTGAATCGGACTTGGATCTTATGTTTGTTTAGAATTTTGGAGATCTTTTTGGTCACGCCTGCTATGTATGGTAACGTGACAGTTTTGATCGGCGTTTCAAGTGGCTGTTTCTGTATGGTGGGAGAAACAGCTTGGTGGATGGTGCGTTCAGAGTATCCGTTCATCCTGAGGGCCCGATGTACATGTCTCAATTCACTGGCCAGGTGGTGTTGGTCAGAAATGCCATGAGCTCTGTGGTATAGCGTTTTGATGAGAGAATTATTTTGAGATGGGTGGTGGGCATCCGGTTTCAAGTAGGAATCTGTGTGGGTGGATTTCCTGTAGACAGAATGTCCCAAGGATCCGTCAGGTCTCTTCTCAAACAGAATATCTAAGAATGGTAGTTTGCCATCTTTCTCAACTTCCATGGTGAATCTGATGGATGGATGTCTGGAATTGATGTGGTCCAAGAAGTGGTTCAATGCTGGGAGGCCATGTGGCCAAATGACGAAAGTGTCATCCACATACCTCTTCCACAGGGAAGGACGCAGGGTGGATGTCTGGATGGTGTCTGATTCAAACTTTTCCATGAACATGTTGGCTATCACTGGTGACAAGGGGGAGCCCATAGGGGTACCCTTATTCTGTTTGTAGAAGGTGCCATTCCAGGTAAAATAAGTGTTGGTGAGGCAATGCCTAACCAGTGCAGATACATCCGAATTCAATCCATGTTGGACCAAGTCCTCAATTATTGTTCAGGTGTCAGGCACTGGAACTTTGATAAACAGAGATACTACATCAAAACTGACGAGGATATCATCAGGAGATAGTACCATGTCCTTGACCAAAAAGACTAGTTGGGTTGAGTTGAGTACTGCCGAAGAGGTTTTGCCTGTGAAGGGAAGCAGAGTATGTGATAGAAACCGGGCTAGTTTGTAGGTAGGGGAGTTAATCGTTGACACGATGGGTCGTAGCGGGGTGCCTTCTTTATGGATCTTGGGAAGACCATAGAGTCTGGGAGGTCTTGCCGCCGAGGGTTTTAGAGAGGGACGTTTAGTTGGTTTGATTAGGGAAGTCGAACTAGTGATGATCCTGTTGGTTTTTGTCGTTAGGCTGTTAGTAGGATCGCTTTTAATTTTGGAGTAACTACTATCATTAAGTAGGTCCAGGATTTTGTTGTTGTATGATTCTTTATCCATGATGACCGTGGCATTGCCCTTGTCTGCCGAGAGGATGACTATATCATCTCTCTTTTTTAAGTTCGCGAGTTCAGAGCGTTCGTTTTTGCTAATGTTACTAGTGGGTTTCTTAGCATTCTTAAGAATCATGGCTATTTCAGCTCTTGCTACATCTGCATGGATGTATCCTATGCCTCTGAGGGCAACAGTAACCTGAGAAATGACATCCTCTACTGGTATATATTTAGGGGTGACAGCGAAATTTAGTCCTTTGGCCAGTACCGTTTTCAGATTGTCAGAAATTGGTATGTTACTCTGATTAATAACAGTCTTGTTGACATCCAGCTTTGTGATTTGTGGCTCTGATTTCTTCTTAGATAGGAGGTTGAATTTAGAAATCAGGTTGGCTTTGCATTTGGTTGACAGTCAGCAGAAGCAGAAGTCATGTTGTCAACGTGGTTCCAATCAGAAGGGGACATTTTTTGTGTCAACATTAAATGTGTTTGTAAGAGAGTCTTGTCTAAATTATCGAGTTCAACTCGGAGTAACCTTATTTTCTCCGAGATTAGTGATAGGCTAGCTTTAAGTAAAATCTGTTTAGAGTTCGGTGAGGACACAGCAGCAGATGTGAGTGTGAAAGCGATGGGTATTACCTTGTTATCGCGGCATCTCTTGAGGAAGGCCAGCGTCTTGAGAAGCTGTGACTTCTTGTCTCGTCTGTTAAAAATTCTAACAGACAGGTGAAATTCCTCCCCGTAGAGGGTATTAATTCTAGATTTGAAGCTTTCGTGATTGCAAGGATTCATACTCTTAGTTCTTTCGGTAAAATCACGGAGGTAAAAGATGAAATTAAAATTAATAAAAATAAAACAATAAAAATCACGACGTTTCGGAGGCAACACAAGTCTCCGTCATCAGGTGGGACCGTCACAGACAGATTTGCTGCATCAAGTGAGGGAGGGATTCAAGATGTAAGCTCTTAAGTACCAGTTAAGGGGGCAGGGAGGGGAGGGGCTTATCAGAATGTGGTAGCCAATGAATGGAACGTATCGGGAGGGGGGGGGGGCTAACAGAGGGACGGGGTACTCGTGGTCAACGACGTGTTTGTGAGCAAGTCACTGTGGATGTACATAATAGAAAAGGAACGAAAATGGCTATATTTATACAAGTGTTGGCTGACAATAAAGAGAGTACTGTTAAACGTTAGGGATGTAAATACTCGGTAAAGTAAAATAGTGCCTGTCAGATAAGATGGTCCAAAAATGTGTAATTAAATATTTTTTGCATGGTTGATAACATCTTTCCAATGATTACTAAGTTTGTACCCATCATCACGGTTGAAATTATGTCTGTGTTTGTATATCTGAACTAGCAGAAATACCCGGCGTTGCCCGGGTGAAAAATATATTTCTTAATAACCTTACATATATACACAGATGGGCTGCTACCCCTGCCCCCCCCCCCAGCCACGATCTCCACGGCCGCTGTGCAGTAGTATGTACGGCCTAAAGTGTGGTGGGGTGTCGAGGCCTAGTACCGTGCAGAGCCTCCGGCCTCGCCTAGATTGCCCACCCGGCTGAGGATGGGTACCGGGGCCGTTACCCCCCCCGCACTACAATAATACTGTGTAATCGCTATAATTTTATTATCTACCGACCCTATAATAGTAATTGCACACATTGGGGTGGCGGGGGAGTGAAGAGGACGTGAAAGTTTGCTGAATTTACCTCAGAGTCGCGTGGTGGGTGTCGAGGCCTAGTACCGTGCAGAGCCTCCGGCCTCGCCTAAATTGCCCACCCGGCTGAGGCTGGGTACGGGTGCCGTCCCCCCCCCCCCCCCCCCCCGCGCTACAATAATACTGTCTAATCGCTATAATTTTATAATCTACCGACCCTATAATAGTAATTGCACATATTGTGGTGAGGGGGGGGGGAGTGAAGAGGACGTGAAACTTTGATGAATTTACCTCAGAGTCGCGTGTTAATGTGTGCGCCTATTTTTAACGGGAATTAAAAATGGCGTCCACCCCGCGGCGAATGCGTCGCTACCCGTTGCCAGGGGCAACCGCCGGACCAATCGTGTCTCGCAAATCCCTGACATTTCGTCCAATGAAACTGCGTATGGTCCGATACACAGACACACACACAGTCAGACAGACAGATTTGCGATTTTATATATATAGATGGTTTCGTGTACAAACCTTTGATGGTAGCCAGAGGGTTTACCGAGTGTTAACATCCCCAGCGTTTAACAGTACTCTTCTTTTTCGGATTTAATTCATTTACCCACCCAGCAGCATAAGAAAAGGTGGCTTAATCCTAGCTGGCTTATCTACATATGCCATCTATATTACAAAGGCGTAGTTCCAGCAGCAGTATATAAGGTCGTACCTCTTGTGACTTCTCTTCACTTGATACAGATGTTTTGCTGTGACAGTTTCACCTGAAGACGGAAGCTTGTGTTGCCTCCGAAACGTCGTGATTTTATTGTTTTTATTTTTTATAAATTTTAATTTCATTTTTACCTACGTGACTTTACCGAAAGAACTAAGAGTATGAATCCTTGCAGTCACGAAAGCTTCAAATCTAGAACCTTCACGGCTTCATTGCAGCCAACCGCGCTTGGGACTAACGCCAGGACGCCGCAGCAGCAGCGACTCACAACTACGGGGAATGTGCGGGGTGACGCCTGACAGCGGCAACTGCTGGCGTACTGTGTTGGCCTACACTGCACATGTCCACCACATAGCAGACGTAACCACGAATTAAATGCTTGTGGTACGGCACTTGTCCAACAGAGGGCACACGTAACACGTCAAGCGCCGGTAAAATTAACCAGTAAAAACAAAGTTTTTCACTATAAATCCTTTATATGCGTGGCACCGGTTTTATTTTATTATTCATTTTTGTTTTTCTTGAGTAAGAGTTTCATTTTTATCACATTGGTATTTTAAATTTAAAAAAAGTAAAATTTTGGGAAAAATTTTCACAAAAAGAAATTGTCACGCACAACGAGTCTGTGTGCAAAATGTCAGCTCG